GTCCATAGGCCGACGCTCTATCCACTGAGCCACACCAGCCAGGGCTTTTAAAATATATTTTTATTGATTTCAGAGAGGAAAGGAGAGGGAGAGAGACATCAATGATGAGAGAGTATCATAGATCAGCTGCCGATCAAGCCCGCAACCACTGAGCCACGCCACCTGGGCTGCCTTTGTTTATTTTATTTTATTGCTTTAAATATATTTATTTATTGATTTTAGAGAGGAAGGGAGAAGGAGAGACAGAAAAACATCCATGATGAGAGAGAATCATTGATCGGCCGCCTCCCACATGCCCCCCCACTGGGGATCAAGCCCACAACCCAGGCATGTGCCCTTGGCCGGAATCAAACCCGGGACCCTTCAGTCCGCAGGCCGACGCTGTATCCACTGAGCCAAGCTGGCCAGGGCTTCCTTTGTTTATTGATGAGAGAGATAGATAGGTAGATTTGCATTCATTGGTTGATTCTTGTATGTGCCTTGACCGGGATCAAACCCACAACCTTAGTTTATTGGGATGACGCTCTAACCAACTGAGCTGCCCAACCTGGGCGGCCAGGGCTATAGACGATTTCTTTTCAGGTTCAAGTTCTGAAAGCCAAGCCTCCAGGAAAAGCACTGGTTCCAATTGGACCCATTCCTGGTGGCTGGGGACATGGAAACCAGCCAACTTGGGCCTGGATCCTCTATTCACCTCTGGGGTTTAGGGACAGCGTGAGTCCCAGCCACATGACATACTCAGTTGCAAATCAATGGGTGTTGCTATAGATAGATGCCTCTTTTTTTTAAAAAAAAAAGAAGTTTTGGGTTTTTTTTAAACTGAGTTTTAGGGAGAGAAAGAGAGAGAAACATTGATTTGTTGTTCCACTTATTTTATGCTTCTTTATTTAAAAAAATATATTTTTATTGATCTCAGAGAGGAAGAGAGAGATAGAAACATCAATGATGAGAGAGAATCACGGATCGGCTGCCTCCTGCACGCACCACACTGGGGATCAAGCCCACAACCTGGGCATGTGCCCTGACTGGGAATTGAACTGAGACCTCCTGGTTCCTAGGTCAACGCTCAACCACTGAGCCACGCTGGCTCGGCTCATTGGTTGCTTCTTGTATGTGCCCTGATGGGGGATTGAACCTCAAACCTTGGCGTATTGGGGGGACACTCTAACCCACTATGCTACCCGTCCAGGCCCCTTAAATGCCTACCATTACCATCTTCACCTGGACTGCTTTGGTTCTACTTTGTTTTCTTATCAACCAGTCCCCTAAAAACTCCACCCTGCCCTGGCCAGTGTGGCTCAGTGGATAGAGCATCGGCCTATGGACTGAAGGGTCCCAGGTTCGATTCCGGTCAAGGGCACATGCCCGGGTTGTGGGCTCCATCCCCGGTGTGGGGCTTGCAGGAAGCAGCCGATCCATGATTCTCTCTCATCATGGATGTTTCTCTCTCTCTCTCCCTCTCTCTCCCTTCCTCTCTGAAATCAATACAAATATATTTTTTTAAAAACTACACCCGGTTCTCTGTGGAGAGAAGACTCTTCATGTTGCTCTGAGCACGCTCTCTCCCCCGCAGGCTGGACAGCTGCGGCCTCACAGCCAAATCCTGTGAGGATCTCTCCTCCACCCTGGGGGTCAACCAGACCCTGACCGAGCTCTACCTGACCAACAACGCGCTGGGTAACGCGGGCGTCCGGCGGCTGTGCAAGCGGCTGAGGCATCCCGGCTGCAAACTGCGGGTCCTGTGGTGAGAGGGGCCTGGCGCTACGGGAGGCGGGACAGGGGCCATACGCCCTGAGCAAAGCGCAAGCACCATCGCTGAGCCCGGGTTTGGGGTTCCAGTCCCTTGGCGAGGGTGGGGGGTGGGGGGGTTGGAAGGAGCTGATCAATAATTCTCTATCATTGATGTTTCTATCTCTTCCTATCCCTTTCTGTCTGAAATCAATAAAAATATATTTAAAAAAGAAAAAAGAAGAGCCCTAGCTAATTTGGCTCAGTGGATGGAGTGTTGGCCTGTGGACTGAAGGGTCCCGGGTTCAATTCCGGTTAAGGGCACATGCCCAGGTTGTGGGCT